TTTCAGTAACCAGTTAATTTTTGTTCTGTGGTGACTTTGTTACAGCTTTGATTGACCAATGACCAAGATACCAAATATGATATTCTTAAACAGCACAAAAAAGCACCAAGGCATGTCACTGCAATACAACATATGATAAAAGTTAATAGTGAGGACAGATGTTAACGACATCCTATAGAAAATACGAAATAAAACCATCCATCTTACCGATGATAGAAACCCTTTCTTAATGGATTCAAGAATCCTATATTTGAAAAAAGCACATAAATGAAGAATCAACAATTAAACTCTGACATTACTTTTTCTCCAGAGATGACTCTTTGCCTTTAAATCATGACTTAACACTGCTAAGGATTCAGAAGAGGAATATCAATTATTGGGAAGTGGAACAGATGACTCCCCTTCAGGCCACCCTAGCAACCTGCAAGGTGAACCCAGATAGCGAGGATCAGCTGGTGGAGACGCTTATCAAGTATAGCAGATTCTTTGTTAAGTCTTATCACCACTCCTTTGCCCAGAACCAGTTGTTGGACTACTCCTGCTCAATTGGAAAAGAAAAGCCTCTCATGTGAACTGTTTTTTGCTTGGGAAGTTGCTTGCAGCCGTTTACGATCTATGAAAATTTGGCCTCTATTCTTGTCAACAGGTGCCCCCTTTGTTTGAGTGACAGTGAATTCCTTATCTATCTCCCTCGCTGGTCCCTAAAAGAAGGTTACTGGATTCAGCCATCGGTTTAGTCAGGCTCAACTGGGTGGTTGGTGCCAGTAGCGGCTGAGCTGTGGTACAGCATCCAACTGGAGAAAGCTAAGATATTATTCCTCTAGTAGGAAAGAAAACAGAACTTTTTGGGTATTTGCTATCCTTCTGGTAAGCTTAGAGATCTTTGGTTCCAAACCTTACATATTTGGCTCAAAGACCATCCCATCTATCATAGAAAAGATCTCGGAGGCCTCAACACTTTGACAAAGTCACTTTTGCAATTATCGACTGTTATGGAACTGCCTATAATACCTCCTTTTTCTTCAACTACTATTACATTGTGTTTGGTTTATTTCCTATTCATTTCTTAGTCAAGTCTATGTTCTAATTCTCTTTGAGTCTTACTAGTTATAGTTAGAAACATAATTTGTTCTGTTTGAAGTAACACCGTCCATCTTAAATACCTTAATGGTGGGAATTCAATCCCATATTGGAAAGTAGGAATTATATTCTCACCGTTAAAAACTTTAAAAAATAAATAAAAAATAAAGACAAGCTGGCAATAATTCAAACACTGAAAATTATATTCTCATCCTCCACATGAGAACTAGAATTAGGAATTGATTATGAATTGACTGGAAAGCAACCCAAATGCAACCTTGGAAGGAACAAAAGAACATTTACTGACAGTTACTTGGTAAGAAGAAAAAATAATCTAGAACAGAAACTTGAAATTGACTATTTTTGGGGCATAGTAAGTTCAAAAGAAACCCAAAAACCATCATTGATCCACCATACAACATCTGGATCTTTTGCAAACTATACATGCATCCTTATAGCTATTTTCACATCAATAACAGACCAGTGAAGCGAAATATGGCAGAGCACAAAGAAATTGACCATAAATATCTGGAGAACTCCAGAGAAATGCATTAGCAACAAGAAGGGAAACTCCATACAAATTCTAAAGTAGGAGAATGTTTGAATATCTGTAGAAAATTTTGTGAAGATCCAATACGTTGTGTTTGTGCCCATACAGGTTAAAGTTTGTAATGATGTATGTATTCACATTCCACTAAGAGTTGCCATCCCACATAAAAGATTTTTTCCCTTCAACACCATCACAAGGAGCACACAGCTCAGGCACATTACTAAAGAAACCTAAACTGGAGCCACGACTCGAACCCCAGCCCTTGTAAAGAAAGCAGAGATATAGAACCATCCAATTCAAAGAAGGTTTGTCATGGAATGAAGCTCTGAATTCCACTTAGGAATGGCTACACCTCAACATCTTTTCTGCTTATAGAAGATTTCACATCTCAATAAAGAAATTCAATTTCATCACTATGTTATCAAAATAAATTGAAAAGGAGAAAATACTGATGATTTAGCTAACCTTTGGTGACAGGCTGCAACAATGCTGGGACCTTCCAACTGAAAGATTCAAAGAAGGCATCAATATCTGCAATTGGGAATTCTGTTTGAATATATCGAAGAAGTGATGGTTTGCTAGCAAATTGTCTTGGATAATTGGCCTTTTGAAGACCTTTTGGAAGAATAAGAAATCTATCCTGAAAGAAGCCACTAGAGCTGATCCTCTTTCCTACCCTCCAACTCCATATATCCCCCGGGTTTGGCCAATCCACAGGAGCATATGGCAAGCCATCTCCACCAGAACCCGGTGGGACCGGTGGAAGATCATTATTATCATTTGTCGTAGGCGAAAGATTATCAATTTCGTTCTTTTTGCCAGAAGAAAAAACATTATTTTCATTGTGATAATCAGCCACCCAGAATTCCTCTTTCTGCTGAGAGTCCTCTCTCTGCTGATTAGCAGCTGGGGCTTGCTCACTATAGCTACAATCATGAAGATTAAGTTAGCAGATAAGGAAAAATAAAGGCCTATATTATCTCAAAACAAGAAAATCAACAATATCAACGACGACAATAACAATAATAATAATAACTTTCACAAATAAGCATAATAATCGACAAGGACATGACAAGCCAACTATTTGAAAAGACAAAATTATACCTATTTTACTGATTCATGGTGTATGTTAGACCATTTAAACACTGATCATTTTGCTATTTGTTTGTTTTCAGATGGCACTAGATGGGTCCGTACCCCATTCAGATTCGAAGATAAGTGGTTGCAGGCTGATGGTTTTCAGGATAGGGTCAATAAATGGTGGTGTGCCACCAATCCGGAACGCAACAAAAGTTTCAGATCGGTGCAGAGATTGAAGCATGCTAAATCAGAAATCAAAAGACGGAGCAAGGAGGAAGAGGCCAGATATGAGATGTAGTTGAAGCCACTTTATGACAAGATTGAGGAGCTAGATAAGAAGAAGGGGGTTGGGCTATATGCAGGGGAGGATATGGTTAGAAGGGAATCACTAAAATTTGAAGTGGCCACCAGACTTCAGATGGAGGAGATTGCCTGGAAGCAGAAATCAAGGACTAGATGGGTTAAGAAAGGGGATAGGAATATGAAGTTTTTTTCACTGTATGGCTAATCACCACCGGAGAATTAATTAAAGGTAAAGAGCAGCTTAGAGAAGCGGCAAAGATATATTTTGGTAAATTATACAACGAGGAAATGAGCAAGAGAGCAAAATTGGATGGCTTGTCTTTTACGCCCTTGGACAATCCTAGCAGGGAAGAGCTGGAGAAGCTATTTACAGAGAAGGAGATATATGCGAGTTTGATGATGTGTAAAAGGGACAAGGTTCTTGGACCAGACAGATTTAAGATGGATTTTTATAGGAATTTTGGCCTATCATGAAGACAGATATTATTGATGTGTTCCATGATTTCTATGATATAGGAAAATTTGTAAGAACACTCAATACTTCTTTCTTGGTGCTTATCCCTAAGAGCAGTGGCGCCAACAATATCAGGGACTTTAGACCAATCAGTTGATTATATGAGAGATTGATTATATGTTGGTGCCTAAATAAGGTACTCTAACTTAGTTATTTGGTAGACCATTCATGTGATTTGTACCAATATTGAGATACTGATATAATTACTGAGATCTGAGATCTCCAATTTTGCCTCTTAATAAAATTTCTCGAAATATTGTTTCAAACTCTCTTGTAGGACAAGCCCTTATTTCCATCTGTAACTCATCAAGCTCGAGTGAGTCTATTCCTCAGCAAAGGGGTCTTTCAACTCAGTCCCTCTCAAACTGATCCCTCAAGGGGAAAGAGAAATCATCCCAAAAAGGATGCTATTAAATTAAACAAGGGAAAAAAACTAAAGAATGTTTGTTTGGCTCATGTTTGATCACAACGAAAAAATTAGTCATAGTCAACATGGTCAAGAAATTGTTTCTGTAATGGTAGTTAGCTAGATTGTGCAAAGCTTAGAATTATAATTCTTGAATTCAAATTGCTCTTGACCTCTATTTGAAGCAATTTCTCTACAAGAAGGGTACTGGCTGATTCTACTCCCAATAACTCGATGATTCTAGAAAATGCTGCTAAAACCCTGGTTGTCACCTCTCTATATCATCAGACAAACCTAACTGGAACCATAGAAAGCGTCTAAACACTAAACATTCTCTTCAGCTACATGAGGTTCATGGCCAACAGTCCAACTCCTCAACAACTCTAACATCCTAGATCCTTCGAAGTATCTAAGCATAAGAATAGGCTCCATGAAAATCTCATCTTCACTACCTTCAACAATCAAACCAATCAAAAGAAGTTCTTCAAACTTGAGAAGTTTAGCGACTTCTTGCATGCTTAAATCTAAAGGAATTGTTATCACAGCTATCAACCTCCTAAATCTCTTCAATCTCACACCACTAACTAGAACTTTCCTTTTTCTTCTAGTGCCCATAGCCTCAACCACAATAAGAATGAATACTTGCCCATTAACCTTAGGCTGAGAACGCAACATATGCTTTTAAACTCAATTCATTAATGGCAGTGCCTCCTAATGTTGCTGGAAATTTTGCTTTAAAGCACTGAATAATCTAATTGGCTATTAAAGAAACCATCTTCGATGTTGAACATGGGTGGTTACCCCTTTGTTTTGGTACTTGTTAATATAGACATAACACTTTTTATCTCAAAAAAAAAAAAAAAGAAACCATCTTCGATATCCCTATAGCATGATGATCATTATGTTAAGAACTTCACTACCCAGAATGAAAAAGAGGTTAGTAAAAGGTCACCCTGCCTAAGCCTCTAGAGACCATAAAGAAAAATGAAGGTCAGTCATTCACTAAAATTGGAAAAAAAAAATTGCAACCCTAATCCACCTAAACAACCCCAATCTATTTTGGACTGCTAAAAAATGTGCTTCAAGCGTTAGATGCTTAAGTAACTTTGAAGCACCTAGATGCTAATATATATATATATATATATATATATATATATGCAATAGCTTGTTTAATAAAACGCTTTCTATAAAAAGAGAAAGAAGAAGAAGAAGAAAACTATTGTAGTTTTGAGAGGAAAAAAACAATAATTAATAAATGGGGATAAATAAGTAACAGAAAAAATTACGAAAATAATCAGTCTAAGGCCCTCTTTGGCTTGGCTTTTGCATTTCAATGCACTTTTGCAATCAAACAAGTAAAATTCAAAGTGCTTTTGGTAAAAACGAAAATTGAAATCTGCTTTTAACAAACACAAAAAATACAATGTATACCTTTTAAAAAATGGTCTTGACTTTTACTAAAAATTTACACTTGAAATCCCAAAACCATTTTCATCAAACACACAACTTTTGCTTCTTTAGATAACACTTTTTTGTAGTTATCTCTACCAAATGTCAAACAGCTTTTGAGTAAAAACAATTTTAGTGAACAACTATTTTACAAACGTACAGCATAAGTTATAGTCGCCCTAAAGGTCTAATACATTAATTAAAAGTCAGTGATGAAATTTTTTTTCTTTGCTTAAGCTCCTAAGTATGTTACTAGACAGATGGATTTGCACAAGGTGCTTAAAGCTATTTATCGCACCCACCAAGAAGCCAACACTGGTTGACTGGATTGAACATATAGAGGAGGAATATTTCAAAAAAAAACATATAGAGGCGGAAAAATAGAATTCCAATCATGTTATGGTACATGAAGAGAAGAGTTATCTCCACAATGAATGCACAAAGTTAGGGATTTATTTTAGTTGGGAATCCCCAGAAAGTTGGGGACATGAAAAAGAGTGTTTTTTTTTTCACTGATCTCAAAAGAGGGGGCGGAATCAAATGGATTAAGTAAGAATTAGAACAATAAAACAAAATTAAAATTTCCTAAAGAATAAAATAAAATTAGCATAATAATCGCAATCCATCCAACCTTATATCTACAGTATTCTTATTTCTATTCTCTGGAACAAAAATTTTAAACTAACTTAGCACGCACTCCTTCCTCAAGAAATAACCACCCCGTCTCATAAAAACAAAATCAGGACCTCCATTTTCTCTACAAGAAAATTTCAGTTATAGGAGTTGAAATTTGAATACAGGTATGATCCACCCAGAAAGTTTTCCCTTCTTGATCAAACTACCTCACATCATCTATATGCAGTCTCATATTAGCGTAACCTAGTTGAAGAAAATGAGAAAAATTGAAGAACATAAAGACGTGAAACCAAAATTCAGAGTGAGTAGAGCCAGAAATTGTACCCAGGAGGACTCGGCTCTCGAGGCGATTCAAAGGTTGGGAAGAAAGGGAATGACATGGCGATAACAAAACCCTAGCACCTGAGAAAGGGGAAATGGAAGAAATTAAGAAAAATCACAACCAAAAGAAGCTTGTACACCGGGAGTGAACTTACTTTTGAGTCAGCAAGCGAAAAGCAGATTGATTGTGAGAGGAAATGCAGCAGATCTAAAGCAGAACTGCTGTGGAGTAAGCTCAGAAATCTTCGAAGTACTTTAAACAGCATCTACTGAGTACTTAGTGTAGAGATTTAGGGGGCGACAAATTGACAAACTTGCCCTTGCTCCTGCTGTCTCCACCGCTTACATGGGTCGACTTCTTTCTTCCCAGTCTGCGGTTTCCCCCAACCACGCTCCTTTCTTGGCGCGTGCATCACTAAAGATTGCAATTACTTTGATTTTTCTGTCATTTTTGTTTCCCACTTAAATTTTGGTATTCTAACAGGTCGGTCAAGTCAAATATAAGGACAATTTACTCACACAGACATATAAATACATGTGTTTATAAAAAAATTACAAAATAAAATATAAAGAATTTACAAAATACTATGAATGAAATTTAATTTTTCAGTAGAAATGACCATTGTATTAAAACATTTTAGTTATAAAATAATATGTATGTACTAAAATACCAACAAGTAACATTGGTTAATTGTTAAACCTTTTTTTTTTTTTTTTGCTATACAGATAATGAAAAAAATCAAAAAACAACTACTATTCTTCATTAACTGATATAACGTTGTATTGTAATGATCTAAATAACCAATAGGTAGAGGGGCTTTGGCGGATCAAGTAA